GCGTCGCCGCCGCGTCCCGGAGTTTCGCCCCGCGCGCTAGCCGGCTGCTCCGGCTGCTCCACCCGCCCGGCGCTCGCACGTGCGCCGCCTGAGCCCGGCGCTCGGTCCCGGGCGCAGCGCTACCCGCGAGCGCAGCTCGCAGAACCGCGTCGCTTCGCCCCTCCTACAAACCCAACTCGGCGCGCGGGGCCCCGCCAGAAACTTCAAACCGACGGGCTGGGAACGTCCGCCGACCCCCGCGCGCTCGCGGCCCGGCCGGGACGCACCGCCCCGCCAGCCATGTTTATATAGCCACGCGGAGCCCTCGCGCAGGCGCGCAGCCGCGCCGCCGCCCGGGGCTTCCCCGGAGTCCGCGCTCCCGATTGGTCAGCGCGCGGAATCGCGCTCCTGACGTCACCAGCGACGGCTCCGGAGAGCTTTAGAATCCTCCCAGGATGTGGAGCGCGGAGGTGCGGGTTGCACCGCCGTCACGTGCGCGGAGAGATGCGGCACTGCGTGGCGGTTCTCCTTGGCGTCCTCTCCAGGGTTTTGCTGCTCGAGCCTGAACGAGGTTTTTTTCCAGGTTTCTGTATTTTTGAAGGAAAAATATAGAGGACTGACGTCGGACAAGTTATAATAATACTGCGAAGAACTCAGTCACGTTTCTCCAGCATTAAAACGGGCTCGCTCAAAAGCGCCACTGAAATTAGCTTTACAGTTGACACCCTCAATAGGTCTAGTGTGTCTTGTCTTTATACTCTGTGTCATATTTTAGCGTTGAACCGGCTAAAATCCGAAACAGAACTTCTTTTCTTCCTCCTGGCTGAGTTTGTCAATTGTGGGGTTGATTTGAATAAACAAACAAACGCTGAGCGGGATTAGTGGAGCACACTTCTGGGTGTGTCTGGATAGTCGAGTCACTGAAGAGGAAAGACCACCCGGGGTGTGGGCGGCACCAACCACAAGGCCGGTAGCCTGGATGGAATTTAAAGGGGAAAAACCCAGGAGGAGCTCCCAGGCCTGTAATCCCTGCGCTCTGGAGGCTGTCAGGGGGATCGCTGCAAAGTCACGGTCACCAGGGCTGCAGAGTGAGTTCAAGACCAGGCTAAAGTAACATAGCGAGAAAGGAAAGAAGAACTAGGTCTTGGGGCCGGCGAAATAGCTAGCACAGCGGCGTACAGGCAAGCTTAGGCAAGCTGCGGGACCGCGGTTCTATCCCCAGCACCACTTGCCTCCCCAGCTGGTCACAAAAGAAAGGAAAAACAAGTCCCCCTTTTGTTTCCTCTCTGGGCCATTGCCTCTTTGGGTGCCCTTCAGCCTCCAGCCTTGGCCGCAGGCATTCCGGCCTGGACTGACCGGCTCCACAGCAAGCTCCAGGCACTGAACTTTTGACTGTGACCTCAGGCTGTCCTGAGCAGATAACCCTGCGCATTCTTGGCCCGCTGGGTCTGAAGGTATACTGTGGATATAGATAGGTATTTTGTAAAATTAAATCTCTTCTTCTAGTGAACCCTAACTGGTATGTCCTATCAGCTCTACACTTACTTAAATTCTTTGCACGTCTATCATATAGAAAATTAGGACAGTGCCTTTTGATACTTATGTGCTCAAATTCTAGCGCTGAAATTTAACCGTCAAAATACCCCTTCCAGTTTGCAGCCGGGGCTGGCGCTCTAGCTCAGTGGTCCAAGCACCTGCCTGGCCAGCTCTAGACCCCTGGCTGATGCCCAGTACCACGTGCCATGCAGGTGTCAGGTGTGGTGGCACATGCCTGTAATCCCAGCGCTGGGGAGCCTGAGACAGGGGGATCACTAGGAGTCCCAAATACATAATTATGTACCAAATACATAAATAATTAATACATAAATAATTAATGAATTAATTTTAAAAATAAAAATTGCAGCTCATAATCAGGAAGCTAGGATCCAAACCATTGTGTAGGGCGTTAGCTAGAACGTAACTTTCCGTACTATACAAATGGTCTGATTCATCATGTAGCCCACACTGGCTCTGGCTGAATGCCTTCAGTATAAGAGATCTAAGCCAAGCGGGTGTGCTGGATGGAGCCGAGGCACACCTTCAGTGAGGTGAAGTGCGACAGATTTGAGTCTTAGCTCTCTGCTCTTCTCAGTGAGCAAGTGCTTCCAGCCTTGATTTTTCTCCCCAGATCTTGAAAATGGTGAAAGGCAGGAAGCTGCTCAGCGATCCTAGGACTGTACAGTCCAGTAAATACTGGAGGCAGGAAGGTTCAGTTTCCTTCAAGGACTCCCTCTTTGGAAGTTTCCATTAGATTCACCCTAACTCCCAAACTTCAGGTATGCAATTAACTCTAAATGGTGAAGAGGGTTGTTTAAGGTAATACTGATTAAGATATACTTTCTTTTTAAGGTGACTTTACACATTGTTTTTCAGTTCTAGAGACTGGTTCCAAGGAGTACTGAGATATCAATATCAGATCTTTTTAGTATTATTTTTAATATTGAGACACATTCTCCCTAATATGCCCAAGCTAGTGTGGAATTTGCCATCCTCCTGCTTCAGCCTCCTGAGTAGCTGAGATTACAGGCTATTATAATCCATGCCCCAGTAATTATAATTATGTTTAGTTTATAATTTGCTTAATGGAAATTTAAAATTTTTTCTCTCAAAAAATGTACTCTAGGCTGGGGCCAGCCAGATAGCTCAGCAGAATAAAGAGCCTGCTTAGGCAGGCACAGGGGCCTGGTTCAATCCCCATGCAGTCCCAGCCCCATCCTGGGGGAGCACCGAGATGGTGATTGAGACTGGGTGTGGTAGCACATGCCTGTAATCCCAGCACTTGGGAGGCTGTAAACAGGCAGAGTCTGATGTGTATAGTGAGATTCTGTAGACCCTATACTAAAATAA